GCTCCTGTCGTCGTCGTCTTCTGGCCAAATTTCGGATACGGCGGGCGAACTACATCCACTTCGGGACACTGCTCCTCCTGCTCCAGGATCTGACCGAACATGTAAACTCCACTGGGCAGGGCCTTCTGCTTGCTGTCCAGGCTGGTGATGGCATTGACCCCCGCCATCATCGAGTGACGCTTCGCCCAGTCGTGGATCTGCTCAAAAGTTATCAACGGAGTGCCACTATATTGCATTATAAAGCTCTGACACTCCCTGGGGATGAGTACGCGGCGGCACAGTTCGTATAAGAACAGAATGCGACTTTTGATTGAGACCGGCTTCATCGAGAAATCAACTCTCTCTGCTGCGCTTCTAAACCGGTCCAGTTCTTTGAGCAACGAGCACCCCTCTTTCCCCGGAGTACGCAGCCAGTCACCCTTCTCAATACTCCACTCGCGGATGAGCTGGGTCATGTCCGTGCCCATTCCCGGGAAAACAACAAAGAGAGCTTTAAAATAAGCTCTCAGTGTGTGCGTGGGGAGGACATTTCGCACCACGATGCCCGCCTCGTAGATTTCTCGTCTCTTCGTTTCATCGTGTCCAAAGAAAATAATCGTGGCCACCAGCGAGTACTCCAGCACCTCCGCAACTACTTTTCCCTTTTGCAGGGCCCCCGCTACTAGCGTGCTGATGCGAAAGTGCCACTCTTTGAGCGGGTTGGCCAGCTTGAGGCACTGCGCAAAGGGCGTCTCCGTAAATTTTGACTCCAACTTGTCGACGTGGATCGAACCAAACTTCTTTGGATCCACATAATCCCCCAGCAGCTTCTGCTCCGATTCTAAAATGAAAGACCACAGTGGTAACTCCCCAACCAGCCCGTGGTCCGTCATGGTCAAACCCGCATCCGCTTCTTGTAACTGCTGTCGCACCTCCGGCGAGTGCGGCACCTCGTCCACACGCACCTGTCCTGCTTTTGCAATCAAAGGAACGCGCTCCGTTCTCCCATCCGCATATTCCAAAACAGGCGACGCTGCTCCTGAGCCCGTGCGACTAGGACCATAGCTGTTGCGCCGCTGCGGGTTGTATTGACCACCGTGCCTCATGTTGGCCTTGCCTTGCACGAAATTGCTGTAGCTTTGGTTGTTGTTGTACTGTTGGCTTGGGTTGTAAACACCACCTGTGTAGCTGGGTGCTGGTGGTGGTGGCACCCTATCGCTGCTAGTTGCCTGATTTTTGCTCGTGTTCTGCTGTTGTTGCCTTGCAAAATTGCGCGCCTCCTCCGGTCTCATACCGTTTCGCGCGAGCGCATCTACTAAATCCCAATACGGGTTTTGTTGGGTAGTTGTTTGTTGTTGATTGCTCGTTTCGTTAGTTGTTGGAGGCTTCAAATTGCTTGCAGGATCAACTGTCTTCTCATCGACATCGTAAATTTGTTTTTCCTGCTCCTGCTGCTGACCACCGCGCGAAGTGGCACCAGAAGTAGTGGCAGCTCTGGAGTCCGACACTTTCTTGACCAAGTCCAGAGTCTGTAGCTGCGTCTCCTTGGATTTCTCCATGTCCTTCTCAAGCTTGTCCGCCTTCTGGTTTGTTTTACGGCTCTCCTCGTCCCGTAGTTGTTCGCGCCGTAGCACCTCTTCTTCTATTCGCTTTGCGCGCAGCAGGTTGGTCTGTTCATCGATGAGCATCTGCCTCATAATTTTGTCAAAGACTTGGGAGATGTTGCTGTCTCCGTCCTGAAACATCTTCATCACTTGTTTTTCCGTGGCATTGCTATCCGCGGCTAATTTTTTTACTGCGTCCTCGTTGCCCAATATTTTCTCTCGGGTCTCCTTCATTGCGGTGTCCAGGTCATCGATCTCCGCCTGCATCTCTGCACCTGCCATCACAATGTCCCGTTGGTTCTGCAACAGTGACCGCGCCAGGTCTTGAGTCTTTTCGTCTTTCTGCCATCCGTCTAGATCCCCGAACAAAACCGGCGGCATCTCCTCATCCGAGTCGATCACAATCTCTTCTACAACCGGATTACCACCCGTCAGCGGCCGCGAGCGCTTGCTCTCTCCCTCACGACGCACAGTTTTCTTCGAAGACGAGGATGCCGCTCTGTCCTGTTCCACTTCCTGGCTCTGCTCATCTGCTTCACGCTGCGTCGCTTGTTGTTTCTCTAGAGCATGCAGACGATCACGCAGCGCGCGGCAATGTTCCAGATCATCCTCATCAAGCGCGTTTTCTTCGGGCACAGGTGCAATTTCTGCTTGCGCTTCCAGCTCCCTCTCAATCCTGCCGGACAAACCGCCAAACATGTTGTCCGCCATGGATCGGCCCAGCCTGCTCCCTGGTTGGTTATCATCTATCACCGGAGAGGTCTGGCCTGTCTCCGTCCCAGAAGGAACTGGAGTGGGAATCATTTTTACTGCCACTTGTTCTCTCTACTGCTGTCCACGCCTTTTGACAGCTGCAGTTCGGCTTGATAGACTAGATGAAGACTTTCCTCGTTCACCTCCCAGCCGTTTTCTTCTAGCACTTCCTTTCTCAAATCGTGCTCTGCCTGCTCCCTTTTTCGTTGTAGCCTCTGCTCTTTTGTTTTTCTAGGTTTGTTTCTCCTCTTACCTTGGCGACCTCTTTTTGCGTTGAGTTGCCTCCTCTTCTTCCTATTCAGCTGCTGCTTGCGATAGAGGACTTCTTCTAGTTGATAGTGCGGATTTTGTCTTGCTTCGTTCAACTTCTTTTTCTCCTGCGCCTGCTGTTTTTCAAACTCACTGAGACGATGATAATTCTCCGGCAGGTCGTCTACAAAAAGCAAAGAAGCGCCAGAGTCACTGCTGTTGTCCTCCTCCTTTGGTAGACTGCGGCTCTGCTTCTGGTTCTTGCTGTTCCTCCCCATTACTGTTTTCCAAAAGCCCTTTGCATATGCGGTGCCAATGTGTAGAAGCCAAATCTGCACAGTTGCTCTGTGTTGGTACAAAAATAAGACGCTGACTATGGTCGTTGGCTTCTCGTAATTTCTGCACTACCTCCATGTAAATCCTTTTTGTTTCTGGAGTAGGTTGTTGCAGAAAGGCGCTGCTGATGTCGAAGTGGAAAAGATTTGACATTAGTTCTCGCGGTAGATATCAGGAAGCTTCAGGTCCTTGCAATCCCGAAAATAATTCTTCACCAGACGGCTCTGGATTCCAGTTAGTAATCTCGTCAAAAATGTGCAACGCCGTGCTGTGTGCTGCCCAAATAGCTGCTACCTGCGGTTTTATTACTCGCAATTTTTCTTCGTGCAGCCTGGCAATGGTTTTTAGCTGTTGACTCTCGTCGCGCAATTGTTGCAGTCCAGCCTTGAGATCTTCGCTCTGCTCCTTGGTCTCTTGCAATTTCTGCTCCACTTCTAGTAGTCGAGATGAAGACGCGACTTGTTCTCCTTCACGCTGTTGGTCGCTGAGCGGACAGTGTTGGAAGATGTGATCTGCTCCGCCGCAACGCCAACAGGACGTTAGTTTTTTTGTTTTTTAGAAATTGATAATGACTCGCACCTTTTCGAATAGTTTGTTCCTAAACTCGCGCACTTCTTCAGCTAGTGTCCCAAAGTTAGGCTGCAGCTTGCTACAAATTACTCGACACAACTCCAGACCTTCAAACCAAGAAACTCCTAAATGCTTTACTAGCTCTTTCTTCTCGGTTCTGCGCTCTGTTTCTTGTTCGTGAGTTCTTTTTTCTAAAAATAAGTTTCTCTTGCGTAGCTGTTCTCTTTCGTCTTCTAAGTCAATAACTTTTAGCCGCAAAGTATTCACTAGGGTAGCTTCTTCTTTTTCACAAAAAGTTGCCACTTTTACTGATAAGACTGGAGCCACCAGATGCTTCTATTGATAATGGCGGTGGCAGAAAAAGTTAACTTCGCGAAGCTAGTGACTTCCTGCAGCAGAGTCTTCCAGTTTTGCTTCTGAAAACCCTGCAGCGCGAGGTCCTTAGCCAGGCGCGCAACTCGGCAGAGTAAAAGGCTTGCGTCTTCTTCGCGAGTGTCTAAGGTGGCTTCCAGTGCCTTTACTTTCTTCTCTAGTTCGACTTTTTCTTTCTTCAAAGTGTCGATAGTAGAAGCCTGCTCTTCAATTTTGTCGATGTAAGATTCACGCTCTTCCTGCGTGTAGGGCACAATAATGCTAGAACTAGATTCACCACTGAGGTCGCTCATTTTGTTGTCGCTTTGTACAAAAAGGCTTTCTAGATATACTTGAGGCAAGTACAAAGTCAAAAGCTCTTTCCATATTAGTTTCCGCTGTGATTTGCGTTTGTTTGGTGAGAGTTATTGGCTAGGTTAGTGGTTGTTATTTTTATTATAGTTGACTGCGAAATTTTGATCTTTAGTTTTTTACTTTTATTTATACATTACTTAGTTTAGATTTTAATCCCCTTGGATCCCCATACAGAGAATAGTAACCTCTGCTGTCCGCTACCACTGAAAGATCTACGCGCAGTGATCTTGTCAGCGGCGAACACGCGGATTTGTTTCAACAAAAAAAAGAATTGCTAGGCGTGTATTTGTTTTGGCGACTTGAGCCGCAGCTCAGTTAAACATTGCGTGCAACAGATCCGGTTCAGTTTCAGCCCTTTGCATCGAGATTGCCAGCGAGATGCTTCGAACAAACACTTTCCATTCAATAACGATATGCGATGTGGTTCTCAATACACTCGGGGGTCACTCGTGTATCGTAAAAACTTTCATTTACTTAAGCCCTAGAAAAAGGCACGTCTTATCTTGAGATGATAGAACCGATATCTTGATCAGTATCCGCGTTCTTGATCTTTGCGCTTCATACACAGAAAGAAAACATGTGTGCTCGCTGTCGCTTCGAGGTTAGGGAAGTCGTATTTTCAAAACTCTGCAAATTTCCTCACAACTGCAACCGACACCACTTGGCCTGAAAACAAAAACGAAACGAAAACGTGTCCGACTTCGTGCCTGCACCGATTGATTATCGTCACGCCGCTAGGTTGCACAGCTTTGTCGTCTCACGGAAAGCAAGCAGCCTCGCTTTGCCACCTCCGCCAAAGAGGTAAAATTTGCAAAAGTTTCTACCTGTTTTTTGCAGAGCATCAAACGGCTAGTCAAACCGTGGTCGTGAGGGCACATACGGAACGGAAGCATCTAAGTAAATGACTAACCAGGAACGGACTAATTTGACGCAGAGGAACACAGATCCTCTCGCATAAAACGAGCTTCCAGGAGGAAATAAAGCGAACACCTTCACTACTTTTTATTACGGCTGCAGCAAAAACGAAAAAGCAAGACAGAACTGAATATTTCCAAAACTCCCATGAAAAGATCAATGAAGGAGAGGACGGCACAAGCGCACTTCAAAGCATATAAAGAACGAGAAGACTCAAACCAAAAGGTAAAGATTCACGAACCATAAGCAAAACCCTGAGAATTAGAAAACCACATGTTTCTGATGCCGACAAAAAAGGCTCGAGTAACTCGTATATCAAAGAAAATATCTCTAATGAACTTAGCAGCTGACCGCAACGCTACAGCCTGCACAAGCGCTCCGCATGGCAGGCATTTGAGACAATGGCCGAGTTTAGATGGCGCTCTCATTTTTGCTAAGCTGCTTGCTTTTCTCTGTCTGTGCATCAAGAAGAAACAACGCATTGATATATCGAGCGCTCAAGTGAACAATTTCAAGAATTGTCTGACGAATAGACACTGACTATTTTATTATGACAATGCTGCTCTATTCAAAGTAAAGTAGTCCCCATCTCAAATTATCCTCTTCGATACTCTTACTTAGTGTCGTTGTCGCCGCGGTTGGTAATTTTCTGAAAAACAGAGAGCTGCAGATGTATAATTACTGCCACTAGTTGAACTGTTCGAGATATAGAAAAAAAAACACTTCAGCATGACAGCCTGATCTACACAAGAGTGCTGAAAAGCGCGAACAAGTCACACAGAGCATTTTTGTAGCCGGCGCGTCACGGGTGTTGTTCTTGTTTTCGTTTTGCTCTAACATCCCCGCGGCTACGAACGAGCTCTTACTGGCATCTATCGCACTCGCGTCTGTGCTGTCGTGATCAAGCTCACTTCTCAGAGATCCTGGGAACTTGGAAACCTGCGCTCCGCTTCGTCCTCGCAGCAGCATCCCTAGTACCCAGCGAAAGACCTGCCACATTCGTCGCTGCCGGGTCGCTGCCTTTACTAACCATGACGCGGCTGTCCCAACCCTTACCGTACTGGCTCGGGGGCTTCCAGCCGGAAGTGATGAAGTTGCTCCCCTTGCTTCCGCCCCTCGTGTGAGCAGGCCCAGAACCCGGCCCCTTACCGTGGTGGCGCTCCTGCTGCGCGAGCTGTCTTGCCTTTTTCCGCTCCTCTTGGCCTTGTTTCCGCTTTGCGGCAAAGTAGTCAATCTCCGGCTGGTACCGTACCTTAGGGAGTTATAGATGTCAATCACTACAAAGCAAGACACACGACATATAGTCGTCCTATTCCGATGACACGAACAGCAAAACGAAAAACACAACTACAACTACTCCTTTATGTATATGCGCTTCTTCGAACTCTTGCGTTGGTCACGGCGCAACATCAGCTGAAATTCACAGCTGTACCAGGGGTTCTTTAACGGTACCAGTCCGCTATTACAAGTGTGCCGCCTTACTGTCACCGGTTATTTCTGACGCTTTCACAAAACGCTGACGCAACCGCAAGAACACACATAGAAACTGTAAAAAGACTGCAGGTGCATTTTAGTGCGAATTATACCTCCACAGCGGCGTCCTTGATGTGCGTGCCAATCATTTGGCAATACTTCTTCTGCCACCACCGATCAAAGTAGGCCGCCGCGTCCTCTTCCAGACTCTCCTCACACTCCCTGATCAGCCGCGCCATTTCTTCCTTCGTGCCGCCCTGCTGCAGTCCCAGGGAGTCCACCGACACAATGCCCATTTTAAGGAGCGAGAAAACGACGAGCGTCCGGGCAGACTGCACGTTTTGCTGGTACTCCTCGCTGGTGTTGTACGCCTGTAGCTGCTCCACGTGTCGTGCATTGTTCGCAGTCTCTTTCAGTGCCTTCCTCTGGTTTCGGTTCTGCGCATTCTGCAGCATCAGTGCCCCCTTCGTCGTGGTTGCATGACCGGAACTGCCAGCGCTACCTACTTGCTGCGCAACGATGTGCGTTGCGGTGTCCAGCGCTGCCTCGCACCGCGCGGGATCGGGCGCGCCCCCGTGCGTTCCCTCTGGGGCAAGTGTTTTGCACAACAGGCACCAGGTCCGCACATACTTGTTGACCCCGAGCTTTGCGCCGTAGCAGGGTCTTTGGACGAGCCAGGGGGCGCCTTCGTTCATCGTCGAGCTCATGATGTTGCTCCCGGCCAGGCTCCACTGCTTTTGCTGGCTCAGCTCCACGACCCGCCTGCGGTGCTCTTCGGAGTTCATGTGTTTCTGGATTAGCGACATCCGCTTTTCTTTCTTCTTGCAAGTTACCTCGTCCTCGACCACCTCCCCGCGCACGAAGATCCGCGGCTCCGTGTACTTCGGCTGCGCAAAGTGCCTCTGCTCGAGCCGGGTGGACTTCTTCTCGGCGTAGCGGCGCCGCGCTCTCCCAGTCGGTGCCCCACTACCGTGCTTTCCCCCCCTGTCCGCACTGTGAAAATTGCTTCGCGAGTGCGCAGCGAGCGATGAGGTGGGGCTTCTCCTGCGCGCCCCCGCCCTCGTCTTTCGTGCTACTTCTTGTGCTTTTGTTTTTACTTTCTTTAACAGTACATCGCCACGGTCTACTTCGTGGTCGGATTCCGACTCCTCGTCGTCTTCCTGGTCCGAACTGCTGCTGCCGTCGTCCGAGCTGCTGCCGTCGGTTTCCGACCCGGACGACGACGCCTCCGAATCCTCCTCGTCGTCCGTGGGGATCGCAAGATAATCCTCGGAGGTCCCGTAGCTGCCGGGCGCAAACAAGGGAAAGTGGGCCACGTCGGCGTAGTCCTGGTCCTCGCCGGTCTTCTCCTTGCGCGCCACGTGAAACTGGAAGCACAGCTATTACAATGAAAAATGCTCCCACCCCCGAACTTGAAAGCATTTGTATTGCAAACCTTTCCAAATGAAACATTCGCCCTCTTGCATGTATCAGCATCACAGATTTCCGATCGTGAATAGCAAAAATTTGTATTGCAAAAGATCCCAGCAAGAGCGGTGCTTGTCATGAAAGCGATGCGAAACACGACTAGAATCTGCATCAGAAAGATTCATACTCCTTTCATGCATGACAAAAAGTTTTCATTTGGAAACTTCGCATCACAAATTTTTGCAACTTTGGGGGTGGGGGGCACTTTTCACTGTAATAACAGCTTGCAGTACGGACGGCACTCCTCGTCGAAGGCGACCCACTCGTGTATCGTGTCCGGGTCACTGGAGTCCTGGAACAGGTCCGGCGAGTTCTTGATCGTGTCGAGCAGCTCCACGCGCGAAAGATACCTAGGAGGACCAATTATTTCCCATATAACATCTTTCACTTTATCTGCCGGGCACTCTTGTTGCAATTGCACAACAAAAACACAAAGAAAGCGATCTAGCCGCATCGACGACCGCGCTTGCGCTACTTGCAGCAAATGCTGGTATGGGTATGCCCACCCAGCTGGGAATGTGAGAGCTTGAAGAGCGGAAGTTGCGAAGTTACAGTGAAAAAATACCACTGCGATGCTAGCAGAGGACGAGGACCGACCCCATAGAAACTACATGCTATACATAAAGTGGAAAAAAATGGCAGCCACGATTTCGAGGATGAGCAGAAAGTTCAAAAAATACCTGCGAAACGCCGGCGGGAAGAACCTCGTGCCTTCGGAATTCCGTTCTGGCACTGCGGGGCGACACACTATTTCTTTAACCTGCTCGTCGTCCAGCTCCGCTTCAGGTTCTTCGCTCCGCAGTTCATGAATCGCGTCAGATTCCTCGTTCTCTGTTTCCGCTAGTGTTTTTCTCTGCCGCACGCAACTGGAGCCCGCACTGATTTCACTTTGTGCCGAAGCCGCAGCGCCCTTGGTCCTTCGCGGATAGCACAAGACCGCTACTTCCGGGCATTGGAAATACTTTCGCGTTGTGGCCCTCTGGTCCGTGATTTCGGTGTATGGGTTCAGCTCGATGAACGGGTACTTCTCCCGCGCTGCGGGTCCAAAATCGCGACCGTGCGCCCCCCTCTTCCACGACCCGTTTGGCCTGCACAACTTTCCGAAAGTCGGCCCGACCACGGACACGATCGCGGTTGACGTGCTTGACGTTGCTCCTGTCGATCGCTTCATCGTCTGGAAGGCGACCTGCTCCTTGTGTTCCTTCTTGCCGAGGTGTTTCCGGATCGCCGTCACGGACTCATCTAGCAGAATGGGGTCGTCGGTCTTAAAACTGCGGCAAAGTGTGCACGCCAGCGGCTGTGCGACCTCGAAGCCCCGCTCCGGGCAGTAAAACAGGTCTGGGTTCACCGCTGACCGCGGAAGGTAAACCACTCCCTCGGACCGCGCCTGGTTCGTCCACCACGCGAGCTCGGCCTGTTCCGCCGCAGAAAGATGCTCGTGCCGCTCCCGCTGCGAACGGTAGTGTTCCTGCTGTTCCACCGTCTGCCCTTCAGTATCCCAAGCAAAAGGTTGCATCGCACTCGACGTGTGAAAAAAATGCAGAAAAGTTTCCAAGCGACTTAATAGGATGCTTAGTGCAAGTCCCCGTCTTCCAAGCCTGGCGTCAAACGCCGCGGAAAAACTCTGGCTCCATGGTTTAAGCGTAATGGAGCGCGGAGTCTCCGCGCCCCCCATGCTTTGTCCTATGCGCGCAACACAAAATACAAATACAACTGAGGTGGTTTTTTTCTCTACACGGGCGCGATACTCTTGTAATGCCTATCGGGCCCGCAGCAGTAGTTCCAGTTTCTCGATAGTTATTCGCCGGGCGTTGGCCAGCGCCTGTGCCTTCAGTTTCTCGTCCTCTTCCGATAATTTTGCCTCGCACAAAAATGCTACTGGCGAAGGCTCTAACGCTGCCTGTTCTTGCTGTCCTACTGCTGCTGTTCTGAAGTTTTGCGCGTCCCCCTCGGCGACCGCACCGCCGGAAGTGATTGGAAACGATGTCGAGGTGCCGCTCCCTTTCGCGTCTGAAGAAGAGGTTTCAACGCCGTGGCTTGAACGCGGGCTCAGAGCTACAGCATCCGGCAGCGCCTTGACAACGTCGAAAGTTGCCCTGTTGCCTCTTGCGACATCGGCTCGGCGAAAACGATCTGGCCATTTTTTCAAAAGCCAGGCCTCGGAAGCGTTCTCGAGTCCAAGATAGACAAAATTGCGCATGTCGTCAACATTTTGCTGGTCAACGCTGCTGGGAATCCATTCCAGGGGTTTCCGCATCAGAGCCTTCTCCTTTTCGCTGAAGACAAGGCGCGACGATGAAGAGGAGCTGTTCCCATAACTTTTGGTCCGCTGCAACACAAGGCAACTCCTCGCAAACCCAGATTGTTGAACTTCTGCTTCGTTCGTCGTCTCTTCCTCGTCTTGTTGCAGCTGCTGGTGCTGCGTAGGTTCCTGGCTAATCATGGTTAGTGCGCCTAGTTCCTTCTTCCCAGCGTCCAGGAGTTGCATTGCGTCGGCACCGACGTAGAAGCTGCGGGGACAAAGCTGGTGCGCCGGCAGGTTGTAGGCCATCTCGATTCTTCGTGCTTCGCTCTGGATGTGCTGATTGGCCAGATGCTCCATTCGGTTCTTCACGTCGGTTTCTGAAATCGAAAACAGAAGTCTTGCAGGAAGCCAGATGGAAAATGTCAAGTGAGTAATGCCTGAAATGAATGCAAAAAACTCGCTCTGCACATGCTCGTCGCCGAGTGGCATGCTGGCCACGACATCTTCTATGTGGGGCTGCTTTAGCAATCCCTATCAAAGTTCTAACTGCAAAATCAAACGCTTCAAAAATGAACGAAAATTGCGCTGGACGGGCACGCAAGACCACCTACCTCCTCACCCGCTTTTCACATTTCTCGTGTGCGTGAGAGTCAATTCTGAAATCACGAGCCGGATTCGAGTGTTTCTTTCGTCATCTGGGCCACTTCTGATGCGAAGCTGCAGGAAAAACTGTTTTCAAGTCCATAGCTGGCAAGCGATCACTTTCGCGGTCTCGTACCTACTTTGCAGTTCCGCCTGAGCCTCCTTGAACGCGAGCGCGTCCTCTGCCCTTTTCTGCTGCAACTTTTGTTCAAACAGCTGCTCCTTTTCCCGCAGGATTTTTTCGTGCGCCTGCTGCTGCAGCTCTGTCGCCCGCTCGCGCGATTGCAGCTGCTGCTTCAAGTCCTCAATGATTGCGCTCTTTTCCTGCAACAGTTGCAGACCTCGCGTTTCCCGCGCCTGCCAATACTCTTCTCGTTCTCGCGCCTCGGTTTCCAGCCTCGCCTTCACGCCGTCCTCTCGCTCCTGCGCCTCGCTCTGCGCCTTTGCTTTCCAGTGCTCCTCCTTCTTCTGGAGCTCGGCAACTTTGCGTTGCAGTTCCGCAGTTTTGCCCTCTTTTTCTTCCGCCTTTTGCGCCAAGAATTCCTGCCGCAGGCTCTCGAGCGCTTCCAAAAACTGCTCACTCTTCCCACGCTTTGCCTGTTGGTCACCGCCCGCGGCACCGTCACCAGCACAGCCAGGGCTCTTTTGTTTCTCGCCCGCGGTGCCGTGCCTCTTTTCCGCCTTGGCTTTATCTTTTGTCCTCTTGCTGCTCGTCTTATTTTCGGTGCTGGTCTTCGTTGCTACTATCGCAGCAGCTTTGAGGCTATCCGCAGACGAGGCGTCCTCCGGTGACGAGCCTGCGACCTCCAGCTCAACTGTTTCTCCTCGCGTCTGTGCCTTTGATGAGGCGATGATCTCCGGCACGCGGATCGAAGCTTCTTTTTCATCGTCCGCAAGCTCTTCCAGGCGAGTTTTCGGACGGGTGCTGGTTGTCGAATGCTCTTTCTGCCATTCTGGAACAGATGATAACTGCTCCGGTGGTGGAGGTGGTGCCGCAGTAGAGTCTGGGCGGCACAGCGCAGTCGTGGGCCCCATTCGGCGATGTAGTCCATTCGTCTCAACAGCACCTTTGCTCCGCTGGTAGTCATCTTCCCTTTCTGCCCATGAGAGTGCTTCATCCTGCTGCTGCGCTCGTCCGTTCGCTGTTTTTTTATCATCTCGAATTATGGACATGCGCGGTCTGCATCCGACCACAGCTATGTCCGATGCAAAGGAAAAACAGCAAGACTACCAATAATAGCCGCCTCAGCGGGGGTAGTGAGGTCATGGCGGTTTTTTTGTCTTCACGCCAAAAACACAAGCGACTTCTCTGCCCACCATGCCATCGCGAGTAATGTTATGCACGATGGCACGGCGGTCGCTAAAAATGACGACCCAGAACTGGCCTCCATTTGGTTTCGAATCGAAAAACCTTCCCCGCATGCTATGGCCCCGTCAAGCCCCACCCCAGGGTCGGCCCCATCGGCCCCCAAATCGGGCCCATAGCATGCGGATTCGCTTTGTGCTTTTGGCGGACTTTGTTTTTTTTGGTTTTTTTTGTTAAAATGCCGCATCTTCTGGCCTTGCGTCCGCCTCTGAAATGGCTGATTTCGGTGGCGTCTTTTGGGCGGCCCGAATGTGGGCCAAAATGGGGCCCATACCATGCGGCTTCGCTGTTTTTTTCGGACTGCTGCTTTTTGGGCGCCCCTTTTTGGGCGCCCGAAACCGCCAGAAACCAAGGCGGCGGGCGCCTCAGAAGGGCGCCCCTTTTGCCGGCTCCCCGGCGTCGTTTTATCAAGCGGGAATCGATAGAATCCGCTCGGGCTTGTTTGATGGCAAAGCCCCGGCCGCTTAGTAATTGAAAATTTTTTATGCCCAAAAACACTTCCGGCCGCTTGAAAACTGCCGGTCGTTTTGGATAAGACATGTCAAAAAGATCGCTAGATTAGAACGTTCGTGACCTCACTACATACTAACTTCTACAGGCTCCAAGATACTAGACGGAAGGTCGCGATATTGTTCCATCAAAAGACGAAGATCACTTCATGTGCATGCGTTTGCGTTCCTTTTTAGACAAGCACAATAAAAACAGATACGCAGTACCATGTTCCGCAAACCTAGTGCCCCACATCCGGTTCGCACGCTGGGCCTTCTCGCTGTTCCCGCGGACCTCTAAGGATCGCTTCATCCGCACTTTGGGCGCGAATGTTCTTTCCGCTAATGGTCTCGCTGCCTCGTCGCTCATCCCTTCCGCTCTCCAAACCTGCAGGCCGTTCTCCTTGATGCTTGCGTCGATGCAGCCCCGCCATGTTTCCCTCGGGTATTCGTATGACTGCAACTCCACGTCGGCCGTGAATTGCGCCCGCTTGCCACTGCTTTGCTTGGACCCGTAGTGCTCCACAGCTTCCTCGTCCCTCGATTTCTTTTCGGATGAGCGCCCTCGGGTCCACGAGTCGGCGCTGCTGTACCTGCTCCAATCTGCTCCTTCCGTAGCTTGTCCATTCGATTGACCCTGACGCCGCCCGCGGTGTTGACCTGTCGCGATGTAGTCTTCCTTTTCCTCTTGCGCATCGTCGTTGCTTCTGGTTCCGTTGCGAAAGGTTCTGCGCTGCCGGGCCTCCCCGCCGACTGCGACACACTGCTCCCCGAGCATGTCAATGACGAACGAATCAACATCAGCATCATGCGTAATTGATCCTGGCAAACCAGAGGGGATGCTATCATGGTCCGCGGGGCCATTTATGCCACAAACAGGTTTGGGACGAGAGCTAGAGGCACACGCACTGGAACCAGCAGACTCTCCTCCTGCGACGCCGCGGCGCCCCGGTCTCAGAGACATGCCCACGGCCTCTCCATCCTCCGAAGAGCGCGGCGAAGAGAGTGCCGGGTCGCGGTGGTCCGTGCCGCGGCGAAGCGATCTGCTAGAGCTCGAGTCGTTGTCGATGGTGCGCACAGTACTTTTGGAGGTACTGTGCGGGAAAGAACAACTCGGAGACGTGGTAGTACACTCTTTCAGGATGGAACGTGCCGGTGCGTCCGGCAGCCGCCGGATGGGAATTCCGCTCCTCTGCCTTCTTTGCAAAATTTCTCGTTCGGAGAGTCGGCCTCGGCGCAAATCCCGCTCTTCGTCCGAGCCACTGCAGTCGTCCGACGAGCTGCTACTGCTCGACCCAGATGAGACGTCGCGCGGGTTATTCTCCTTCTGCGGGAACGGATCTCGCTGGCAACACGTGTCCTCTTCGCTCCAGGGCCGCGCAACTGACCCCAAGTTCCGGCAGTACGGGTCTTCCAGCTCCCTCGGACACGAAGAGTCAGACTTCACATCTTCGAGCTCGTCTTCTTGCCCTTGCTGCCCCGCCACCATAACTTCTCCCAGCGGCACAGGTGAAGACAGCAGAGATGAGTGCCTCTCTGATTGTTCTACCGAGGATGAAGCCAGTTCTCTTGCCTCCTTTTCCGCATCAGCTTCAGCACAATCCATAAGGCAAGCCTGTGCCTGCTGGGTGTATGTCTGTGATTGCGTACTGTGCTGGAAAGAGCGACCGTATGCGTCTTGGAACAAGCTCGCGCGGAACTGTTGCACCATGGGCATAATGTCCCGGCTCCAAAGCTCATCGGGGTCCTTTATTTCATCGTCGTCCTTGGAGTCGTCAACCGCGGCTCGATGTCCACTCCAGATGCCTTCCTCCTCCTCCTGGCGCTGCCTTGGGTCCTCTGGCTGCTCAAACAATCGTCGAGGACTGTATCCATTGCTTTGACGACGGAACGGTATCGTGGTGCGCAACTCCACCCTACCTCATGCATCATGGTACTTTGAGCAATGAGATCCTAATCCTATCATCATCATCATCATCATCATCATCTATCCTGCGCGGGGCATTGCGCAGAGGGTTCTAATCATCAGGTAACGCAGTCTCAACAACACGGTCGAGATGCTAGGACTTTTTTCGCTTGTGTAAATCTTTGAATCCGGTGAAGGAGGGTTTGGTGTGAAAAATGCAGAATTGCATTTCTTCATAATCATCACCACCAAACCTGCACGAGGTTATAGTGAGCAGAGGGTTAAACATAAAATTCAAATTTCCTGCTGTGAGAATATCGACATCATAACTCGAGCTATACACTTTCGGGTGGAGCACGTGTCACCTTTGATACGCGGGGTCCTGATCCCGGAACAGGCCGGGCCAACTTCCTCCTTACCTGACACATCATCGGTCTGAGGCGTGCTCGCTACACGTCGCGTATGAACATCTTCATGGGGAGAGAGAGTTCCCTGATCGCATGGTCTCCTCTGTTGCAGTGGTGTTGCGAGGACGTCGTCGATTTTTTCACCCCTCGTCACGGGTTGCTCCGCCTGTTGAAACGGCGCCTCCTCCTGCAGCACACCCCTACTTGCATCTGGATGTTGTTGAATCAGTGGGCTGCAACACTGGCCCCTCTTGGGAGAGGGCGCAAGTCCGACTGAGGGTGAAATCGGAACCGCTCCAGGTGGTGGAGGAGCGGGCGTTTGAAGTTCAGAAAATTCGCTGTCGTGGTACTGTGCTTGCGAAGTAGAAATAAACGCAGCGTGGTCTCCTGTCACCACCGCTGCATTTTCGCTTCCAGACAGGTCAAGCGAAGTACTTCTAGACCGACTACCAGGTGATGAAGCTCTTGCGCCGGATGCCCCGACGTCTTCGGCACTTCCGCATCTACTTTGCAAAAACTTCATCTTCCTAGCATATCTGGCGACTTAGGTGCGCCACACGAGCCTTGTTCTGCGCGTCAACTTCCGTGCCAGCCACCGCTTCAGGTTTAACATCTCGGCCGCGATAGGCTACATGACTCATTGTCTTATCAAGTCGTATTCAACATTAGTTGTGCTTGTTGTATTTCTCAGAAAAAGTGACGTCCGCAAAAAAAAAATTGTCCTCGACGTTGAATCACGAATCATAACGACGCTCTTTTTGATGAGTGTCGTGCACGTCTCGATTATCGCACTTCTCTACTAGTAAGTTTTGCTAGTGCGAGAACGCCAAGTCCTAGGCCTACACGGAAAATGAGAAACACTCTAACTGCGATCTGGCCTGGAAGTAGCATCTTCTAGTGATCTGAAGAACAAAAACCGGTTGTTGAAAGATCAAAGATACGGCTTTTTTACGGAAAAACCTGTATATGTAACCATACTTCATTAACAGGTCCAGAAGAAGATCATGGGCCGCGGGAGAGTCCAAACGCGGTCGCCGCTGCTGTTTCACCAATTCTAAACTTACGCAAAACGGAATTCAATCTGCATTGGCAGTACCAGAAACGGCAGATCAATATCGTACTCTCTCTGAGGCATCACTAAACCTGCATCTCTCTATCGATCGTAACTGCGAGAAAAACATCCGTGGAAACCACAAGACACGCCGGATAGACAACTAAAAGTGGCACCACGACATTGGGTACCACATACTAGATCTTAATCTCCTGATAATTCGTGCCGGATCAATAAAATCGTCATCATCCACGTCTTCGACCGCGGCAAATGCACTACAGGCCTCTGCTGTAAATGAGTCCTTTGGTTTCTCACCTTGGTTTTGTCAGATCTTTCGTCAAAGTGCTCTCTTAACACAGAACAGTTTCCCAGTCCTTCCATTCAGAACTGAGCGTCCGCTCGTTCAGCTGAGCATCAAACACAGAAACGAAACAAACCTCTATTGATATTGCGACTGCCACTGAGAATGGTACCCACCTCGTCCTCTCACCAAATGTATCTTTACATACAATGGCATATAGAAGGCTCTCCCTCTGGCGCATCCATCTACTGTTCCTCCGGGTCTATATTTTTGCACACAGAAACTGACCCACCAAGCCTCTGCATATCCGGAACTGACCAGCGATCCAATCAAATGATGCAAGATGTTCTTGTTGGGGTCATAACTAGTCCTGCAACAGCAAAAGGAACGGTAAGTAAGTTAATGAACAATGCAACCCTCGCCCTCCGTGGTGCGTCGTCCGACTTGCGTTCGGTCGCGTTGTTGGTGCAGGAGCGCTGGACGATGCTGTAATAAACGTGGTCACGTCAGCCTGCGATACCAGACGAGGAACTCCGGGTACACGTTATCGGCGTCATAAGTGATAAACTCCCGATATGTCCCCCTGCACTTTTCCCGATCGCCCAGCACCGAGTCGAAATCTCCCTTGACGCAGCTGGTCACTAGGTTATCCGGATTGGGGTAGATCGAGTCTTCGTACAAAATTCGGCCGAGTACCATATCAAATGCAAAAATGTCTGGGTCTGGAAACTTATGATGCTGGGTGGCGTATGATGAGGAGGCCACAAGTGCTGGCTCAGCATTACAAGTTTCTGAGCTTCTAGGTGTTCCCTACTCTGCATGACAAACTGCGTTTCTGCATGACAGAAAAATGGTGCTCTTGGGTAATGTGGATGACAGATTCAAGAGTCATGTGAGACAAGCATGACTAACTTGCATTCTTCCAGACCCAGACATTTTTGCACTTGATATACCACACGACAGATCAAAATCGGGTTTACGCCAGCGTCGTTCTCCTGCGCGTACTCGTCAGCCTTCATCACGGACTCGCCGAAATACACCCCCCGCCCGTACAGACTCCCCGCGTTGGTGCCGGCCAGGTTGACCTTGAAATCCGTGTCGGTGATGGACAGCGCCGCCTCGGGCCTGGTGCTATCGTGAGAAAAGAGTGCTACACTTACACACTCTGCTGGGAGACAAGCAAGACAGACAACCTCTGTCATGCAGCAAATGCTTGCCGACCTCATTTCACTCGTGTTTTCCCTTGTAGCCTGCGCATCACAGGTTTTCTTTGCCATGTCGAGCAACTTTGTGATGCAGAAACTCCAACAAATCTATATCAATAGCAAGTGCGAAAACATTTAAAAGACAAGTATCCGCTATTGCAGTGACTAATTATGTAAAAGCCAAAAGCCAAAAGCCAAAAGCCAAAAGCCAAAAGCCAAAAGCCAAAAGCCAAAAGCCAAAAGCCAAAAGCCAAAAGCCAAAAGCCAAAAGCTAAAAGAAGCCAAAAGCTAAAAGCTCTAAAAGCTCTAAAAGCTCTAAAAGCTCTAAAAGCTCTAAAAGCTCTAAAAGCTCTAAAAGCTCTAAAAGCTCTAAAAGCTAAAAGCTAAAAGTCAAAAGCTAAAAGCTAAAAGTAAAAGTCAAAAGCAAAAGTTAAAAGTAAAAGCTAAAAGTAAAAGTCGAAAGTTGAAAGTAACAGCTGAAAGCAAGAAAGAAATTAAAAGCTCAAGCCGAAAACAAAAACCGAAAGTAAAACTCGAAGCAAAAGCTGAGAGTAGAGAGCGCAGGCGCAGAGCATAGGCAAAGCTGCGAAAGTGCTTACAAAGGCAAAGCTGCAAAAGGCGCAAAGCAAAGACAAAGGCAAGACGGCGTACAGCCTCTCGAAGCCGCGAAGCCCGGACGAAGCCTCGAAGCCCGGACGAAGCCTCGAAGCCCGGACGAAGCCTCGAAGCCCGGACGAAGCCTCGAAGCCCGGGCGAAGCCTCGAAGCCCGGACGAAGCCTCGAAGCCCGGACGAAGCCTCGAAGCCCGGACGAAGCCTCGAAGCCCGGGCGGAGCCTCGAAGCCCGGGCGGAGCCTCGAAGCCCGGGCGGAGCCTCGAAGCCCGGGCGGAGCCTCGAAGCCCGGGCGGAGCCTCGAAGCCCGGGCGGAGCCTCGAAGCCCGGGCGGAGCCTCGAAGCCCGGGCGGAGCCTCGAAGCCCGGGCGGAGCCTCGAAGCCCGGGCGGAGCCTCGAAGCCCGGGCGGAGCCTCGAAGCCCGGGCGGAGCCTCGAAGCCCGGGCGAAGCCTCGAAGCCCGGGCGAAGCCTCGAAGCCCGGGCGAAGCCTCGAAGCCTCGAACAGGCCCGGAAGCCTCGAACAGGCCCGGAAGCCTCGAACAAGCCCGGAAGCCTCGAACAAGCCCGGAAGCCCCGAACAAGCCCGGAAGCCCCGAACAAGCCCGGAAGCCTCGAACAAGCCTGGAAGCCTCGAACAAGCCTGGAAGCCTCGAACAAGCCTGGACGCCTCGAACAAGCCTGGACGCCTCGAACAAGCCTGGACGCCTCGAACAAGCCTGGACGCCTCGAACAAGCCTGGAAGCCTCGAACAAGCCTGGAAGCCTCGAACAAGCCTGG